GGGGGGGGGGGTCATTACCCAAATCTACTGATATTTGAAATACATGTTAGGAGGGACTAGTACAGCTCAGTTTAGACCTAGACATGGTGCAATAGTGATTGATACAGATAAAATATTGTAAACAAGTTTACATACATATTCATGATTAAGGTCAAGAATAATCTATTTGTTGTGAATTCAGGATTAAAATTGAAGAAATAATACAATGGTAAATATTTTCATTATAATGTGATGATAAATACAGTAGTGCATTTCCTTTGAATAGTAAATATTTATTCCAAATAAATACGGATCTCTACGTTTACCCCGTATTATAATTTTCTAATATGTAAGAGTCGAGATAATGCATTCATGGAGACGCGCACATAAAAGTATGACAAGCATACATCGCAACCATGAATAATGATTTGCAACAAGAAATCTTTATTGATTGACGTTTTTTACCAACATTAACGACTCATGATTCCCAACAGATAAATGTTAAGTTAATCAATGTCACTTGGGACAAATATGTTAAAAAATTCTTCTCCCTCTGCTAAGTTTTCGTGAAAAAATCGCGCTTTTTAATGAAATCGAGTGTTAAATCAACCAAGGTTGCCTATAAAACATCCCTTTTTGGTCTTGGTAACACTTAGTAAAGTAAATTTCCTTAACTTCGCTGCAAATACATAGTTGTTACTGATAATTGATCCCTGAATAAAGCTGCAGGTCTAAAATTATCTGAGCTGAAAACTTTAGAATGGGATATCCTTAATCATGATCTGTCGACTTAGAATGGGATATCCTTAATCATGATCTGTCGACTTATCTGGAAATTAAATTTATGTGAAAAACAAGCCATATTTAATCTGGATATTAAGAAAAAGAGTGGATTAAGCATTAATCCTGATATCCACCATTCTAAAGTTTTCAGCTCGGGTAAAATCGAAAAAAAAAATATCTTAAAATTGCCTCCGGAGCACAAGCCTGGATCCCATTATGAAGTTGCCTGTTATATTTAAGATACGGATTAGTGCTTTCTGAACGGATTAACCGTACAGAAGATTAACCACAGAGATCTATTATTTTTGATTTATAAAACTGTCACGTTGTCACCTGACACTGCTGAGGAATTGAAAGGTTTCCGTTAATTAATTCAGTTTAGTTTAAACCCTGGGCTCAGCTTGGAATGAAGGTTAACTATTCGTTTTAAACGATTATTTTTTATCAACCCCCCCCCCCCTTATTGCCTAAGGTTTCTAGGAGTTTGTAAATTAATTGTTTACACTCCCGGGCTTGAAGACCTTACTTAAAACATATCTTGAATTTTTGCTTTTCTTCGAAACAGATGTGAATTGATACATAGTGCTAACAAGAATCATGTATACATTGTACTTGTCTGTTTGTTTCCAATAAACGTCAAAACGGTTGAACCGATCGAGCACAAATTTTTTGTGTAGCAACCTGCATGGCCCATGAAAAGGTTTATAAAGACTGTCAAAATTGAACATTTTCACCAGAAAAAAATTTCAAATTTATTTATTGAAAATGCGACAATTTAGTTAGAAGAATGCACGAACATTTGAGAATAATAGCGACTTTCATAGCTATGATTAAAAACTAAAATCGATGATAGTACTTGAAAAAAACGACAGAGCATTTTGGATTTAAAAAATATTTACTCAGTTCAGAGGAATCATTCCTACACCTTTCCCCTCCCCTCATTCACAGATCTCCAATTTCTTCTTCCCAATCCCCTCA